CTAAGGCAGGGGTCCCCAAGAACTGACTCTGACTCAGCTTCCCTGAGAGTCCAGAGCTTATAGCTTGTGCTGTATGACTAGGAGTCCCTCGCCCTCTCTGTGCTTGATCCCAGCCCTTGAGTGGCTCTGGAAGACAGAAGTACAGAACTGCATTCTTTGATATACATGGTGGACACCAAGAATTTATATATTGGGCTGGGGTTGTGGGCTCTGGGTGTTTTAGTAGAAAGGGTGACTAATTCTTAGTATGGGTGTGTGTGTGTGTGTGTGTGTGTGTGTGTGTGTTGGTGTTTTATTTTGTTTTTTGTTGTTTTTTGAGGCAGGGTCTCATTAGATGGCCCCTGCTGACCTTGAATTTGTAGTTGTCTGGGCTCAGCCTCCTGAGCAGCTGGGGTTACAGGTATGTGCCACAACCTGGCTCCTGGTGCTGGGGATTGAACCCAGGGCCCCACATGTGTTAGGCAGGCACTCTAGTACTGAACTGCTCCCCCAGGCTGGGGGACAAGTTCTTGCAAAGGGAAGAATTGAGTTCACTGGTTCCCACTTCCCATGCATGGAAACTGAGACCACCCAGCAATCCAAGAGCTATTGCCCAAGAGCCTCAGTGATTCATCCGAGCCCCACGTGCTCACCTAACGTGCTTGGTGCTGTCCAGCAGCGAAGCAGCCAGGAAGAAAACAGCATCCATTCCTTGGGGAGCTGACATTTCAGTGGGGGTGGACGATAAGCAAAAAGAAAGAAAGAAAAAAAAGGAAAATGTCTGACAATTCCTCAAAAATTTGAACATAGAACCACCCGATGAGCCAGAAATTCCGCTCCTAGGTATCCGCCCAAGAGAACTGAAAACAGGGAGTCAACAAATCCTCACCCTCAAAAGTTCACAGCAGCTGAAAAGTGGAAACAACCCAAATGCTCATCAACGGATGAATGAATGAACAAAATATGGCCCAATCACACGGTGGAACATTACTCAGCCATCAAAAGGAGCAAAGTACTGACGCAGGCTGCCACATGGATGAACCTCAAAAAACATGATGCTGAGTGAAAGAAGCCAGGCCAGAGGCCGCAGGGTGTGGGAGCACATGGACAGGAAATGTTCAGCACAGGCAACCACAGAAGGCAGAAAGTAGATTAGGAGTTTCCAAGAGCTAGGAGGAGAGCAGGGCGTGATTGTATGAGAACTAGATTTCCTTTCGAGGGTGTTGAAATGATCTGCATCACTTTAGGAGAGATGCTTTCACAGCATTCTGAATGCACTAAACCCTTGTGGGCCAGCAGCCCAGGAGGCTGAGGTAGAAGGATCATGAGTTCAAAGCCAGCCTCAGCAACTTAGCAAGGCCCTAAGCAACTCAGCAAGACCCTATCTCTAAATAAAAATATATATATAAAAGTGCTAGTGATGTGGCTCAGTGGTTGAGCACCCCTGGGTTCAATCCCCAGGACCATAAAAAACAAAAAACAAAACAAACCAGAAAAAACACACAAAACAAACCCTTGTGGGATTGTCGATGTAGTTCAGTGGTAGGGTACATGCCCAGCAATCACAGGTCCCTGGCTTCAATCCCTAGTTCCGTGAAAGTGAGAAATCAATGAATAAAAAATAAAATAAGGGCTGAGGTTGTGGCTCAGTGGTAGAGCGCTTGCCTAGCATGCGTGAGGCCCTGGGTTTGCTCCTCAGGACTGCATGTAAATAAGTAAAATAAAGCCCATTTAAAACACTTCCTTAGTTGTCAATGGACAGCTAAGAAAATATTTTAAAAAATAAAATAAAAATTATTTTAAAAACACAGAATCATTTATTATGGATGTTTCATCTCAGTTTTAAAAAGAAAAGTAAAGTTTGTTAGATGGGAAGAAAATTCAGACTAGGCTGGGGACAGAGAATGGGCCTAGGGGCTGGAAGACAGTCACCCTGACAGTGACAGCGGTGAGGACTCGCCCTGAGCCCTGCCCCCAGGCACAGCGGGGTGGAGCGACCTGCCCCAGGCCTCGGTGCCCATAACCACTGGGCGCAGAATGCAGGGCGATCACAGGAGTCTTTATTTGACGTTGACCTGTGTATTTTATAGAGAAGCAAAAAGGACCATTGAGTGTTTCATGGCTTGTTCCAAAAGCATTTGGTGGTGACAGCCTAAGGGGTGGACACTGGCCCCCCGCGTGAGGCTGCGGGAAACCAGGCCCCCCCCTGAGGCTTCATTCCCTCCTCTAACACCCGGGGGTGTGAGGAGGCCCCGAGCTTCGACCTGAGCCCCACAGCTGGTCGGAAACAGGGGAGCAGGTGAGGTCCCTGCCTCTGGGGCAGCTGTGCCAGCTGCAGGCCAGATGGTGGCCGGGCCTGTGGAATTGCCTGCTGTGTCCCTGCTTCAGCCTTTGCCAGGCTATAGGTCATCTTATTGGGTGCGGGGTGTGCAGTGACCCATGTGGGCCATCACGGTCCCCCCTCCCCGACCCTGCTTCATCCAGAGAAGACAACCTCTACAGTTTCGCCCAAGAACCCTGCAGAGAGTCCTGGCTTTGCTCGGCCTCACCCCCAAATCTCACCTGTCCTATTAGCTACACCTGCAAAGTGCACTCCAGCCAACACTACCCGGTCACCACCCTGGGACGAACACCATCAATTTTGGCCTGAATTGTTTGCCTCCTAATAAATCCCCAAATGTCAGAGGAGTTTGTTAAAGTCAGTGTTAATTAAGTCCCCTCTACTGAGATGGCCCCTCTCATTTCACACATAAGGATGTCTCCACAGTGACCCCTAAGACCCTCAGTGACACAGAGAATGCCTCCCACCCAGTCTCCCACCTCCTCCCTCTCCCTTGTTTTTGCTTGATAGGCAACTCTCCAGGCATGCTGATGCCTCAGGACCTTTGCACTTGCTGTCCCATGGCACATGGTCTTCGAGCACCCAGGGTGTCCAAAGGGCTGCAGGTCTACAGCACGCTCCAAGTGTGCATGCAGCCAGGAGCCCAGCAAACCTCTTCTTACTTATCTGTGGCTGTGGCTGTGTTCCTGACATGTGGGTCAAATCTGGATGTTATGAAGTGTGCGTGCATATGGACAGCATTGACTTCAACTCTAGTGTAGCAGGGGTGTGAGCTGGAGTTCTCTGCTGAGTGGGGTTTGCTGCCTGCCTGTAGTTTATCTGGAACAAAGGCTGCATGGTGGACCAACCTTGGGCGGACGAGGGCGTGTCTGCAGAGCTTGCCGGAACGTGAGCGGCTCATGCATGCATGCGTTCAGCATTATTCAGTGATGACTATGCTGGAGAGGTCAGCAGCACCCAGTTTCTATCAACTCCCACAGTGTAATCTCCTGGGCATTTTACACAATGTTTGAGCATATCTGTGCACCCAGACCTCTGCAGGAGATGGATCAGTACTTGGACCCGGTCCTCCTTGCAGGAGCCCACTCAAGCAAGCCCCTTACGCTCTCCTCCAGAGTCTCCAGCCCTGTACACCCTCTTCTCCTAGTGCTGACTCAGGGAGAGCTTTGAGCCCCATCTGGACTCCTGGTCCCCATCCGAGCGAGGTTGCATAAAAAAGCTCTGACTCAGAGAGCAAAAGTAAATCTGCTCAAGGCTGGAGAAAGGATCCTGGGAGCTTGGACCCTTCCAAGGCAGTGATTCTAGGCTTTCAATGAGTTTAGGGATGGAGGGTGTCCTTGAGAGCTCTGGATGCTTTCTAGGAGGGTGTGTGGCTGGGGTGAAGGGTTGGATTTGGCTCCACAGGGTGCACAGCAGGAAGGGATGAAAGAAGGGAGAGGAGGAAAGGAAGGAAAACAGGAACAAAGACAAAAAAAAAGGAAAGACACCACATTGAGCCCTGGCTGAAGACTGGGGTGTCTGGGGTCTGGAGCTTTCCCAGGGCGCTGGGCCTGATGGAATGAACTCAGATGGTGTAAATGTGAGTTCGAAGAACCTATAGGCAGGGATTTGGGGGAGTAGGAAGGGGATTTGAGTAGAGGTTGGGGAGGTAATCTGATTGGGGAGACTGAGGTATAAGAAACCACAATTAAAGAATGAAGAAGGTATGGTGGATCTGAGGCAGGTGACTGGCATCTGAGGGTGGAAGTTCTGGGAAGTTCTGGGTCTTTTAGAGAATAGTTGGGATCCAATAGTGTTGAAAGTCTAAGACCTGGCAGGGCCAGGTTTCTGAGGGAGGCCCGCGGAAGGGGTAAGGCTGGGAGTGGGGTGTGCGTGGTGGGGAGAGAGTGAGGTTGTCAGAGTTTAGGGACCAGTTTCTGCACGCCTTAGCTCATCCTCTCCCGCGCCCCTACCCTTAGCCTCCTTCCGGGTCCCTCCCGGCTCTCAGCTCCTAGGTCTCACCACACCCAGCCCCACCCCAGCCACGCCCCATCCTCGTCCCAGGCTCCGCCCACTCACACCTCGCCCTCCCGCAGCTCCGCAGACCTGGCCTTCCCCTCTTCAGGACGGACCCCCCCCACACTCTCTCGCGGAGTCACTGAGCCTCAGCCCGCCCCTCCTCACTCGGTCCAGCCCCCCCGGCCCCGCCCCTCCTCTGCGAGTCGGACCCTCCCTGGTCCGGCCCCACTTGGGACCAGACCACGCCCTTCTCTGGTCCGACCCGCCCCAGCTCTGCCTATGGCCCTCTGATACCTCGGCTCCGACCCTCTTCAGACCTGGTCCCTCCCTTCATCTTGGGCCCCGCCCCTCTCCCGGCCCCTACCTTAACCCTTCGCCGAGTCCCGACACAGGCCCCGCCTTCAAATAGGCCCCGCCCCTCCCAGCCCGCACGCGTCCCCCTGCCCCTCCTCAGTCTTGGCCCTGCCTCAATCCCTCACCTTTCACTTTGGCCTGGTTTTGGCCCCGCCTCCCCGAGTAGGCGGCCCCTCCCACAATGCCCCGCCCCCTCAGCATGCTGAGCTCTGATCCGTCCATAAGACCACGCCCCCTCGTTTGGCTCCGCCCCAATATCTCGTCTAGGCACCGCCCCTCCTCAGGCCCGGCCCCTCTTCGCTCCCGGCTTCTCGGTCTGCCCGGTCGGCGCGCGCGGCTCCCGTCACTCGAACGCGCGCGGCGGGAAGATGGCGGAGTCCGGTGGCAGCGGCGGTGGGGCTGGCGGCGGTGGCGGCTTCGGCGCAGGCCCGGGCCCCGAGCGCCCGAACAGGTGAGTTCCTGCCTGCGGGGTGGTTGCGCCTCTGGCCCGGAGCCCCGGGGATCTGTAGGAGTCCTGGGGTCCTGGGGGACGGTTTATGAGGTCGTCGGGTACTGTGTGGACCGAGGGCCTCTGATGGGGCAGCTGGAGGCAGGCTGGGCAGTCCAGGATCTGCACTGGGCCCTAGGCTCCTGGGGATGGCCCCGACCGTAACGGGGTTGTGGGGGAACTGGGGATGCCATGGAGTCTAGGAAGCAGAGAGGGGTCGGAGCGAGGGCCACAGGCAATCTGGAGGGTGTTGAGGAGATCTTGGGGATCTGAGGAGGAGGTTGAGGCTCAGAGCTTCCTGAGGGGTGCTGAAAGACCCCAGGTAGCTAAAAGGGGTCCTGGGAAGGATGAGGCTCTGGGAGGCTGTGAATGGAGGATTCTAGTGAACCTGAGGGCCTAACCCGGGACTAAGGGGCCTGGAAAACCTGGAGAGGAGAGTCACTGGAAATCTGGGGTCCCAGTAGGTCCCAATAGCTAGGAAGGAGTCTGTGGGGACATAGTGGTTCAAGGGATCCTGAGGGATGCAGGTGGGTGTTGGGGAGCAGAAGATTGCTAAAGAGCAACGAGGGTCTGCAGAAAACAGGGTTCTTCCTTGGAGCTCCTCCCTCCCATCTCTGGGTTTCACATCCCTCCTCCTCTCAGGCTAAAGGACTTGATGCAGAGTCTTACCCCTAGGCAAGGGGGCCAATTTCACCCATTTGATCAGGAGGCTCCTTTCTCCATGGCCAAATCTTGAGATGGGTTGAACCCCAGAATTTGCACAAAAAATTATAGATGTTTATATTCTTCTTTGTGTTGATCCACATCCACATCTCTGAAGGAACACCTGCCTTAGGGAGAACCACTTCCCTCTTATCCTATTGGGCAAGGCCAGCATGGCTCAAGACACGTCCACCCCAGCCCCCTAGGACAGCCCACCACCCTTGGCTGGCCGAGGAGGAAATTCAGGCTCTTCATTGCCAGGAAGCGTGAAGGAGCCAAAATTTTCAGTCAGTGTGATGAATGATGAAGTTGGTCCCAACTTGGGTGCTATAAAGTTGGTCCTCCTTGCAGGGCTCTGGGCTGGTGCCAGCAGGAATGGCCTGATGGCCCGGGGGCATTACTCAGCTTTGGAGACTGGCATGGAATGGTCCATCTAGGGCACAGAGGAGGCAGAGGCTCTGACACTTCCCAAGGGTGCTGGGTGGCACCTTAAGGCTTAAGTGTGTGGACACAGCAAGGCAAGGGACTGAATCTGGTCTGCCAGTGCCTGGAAGTCAGGGACATCTGTGACCAGAGGAGTAACCAGACTTCCAATGCGGGAAAGGGGCTGGGGCACAACTGGACACCTGCAGAAGGGATCAAGGAGATATCAGAGGATCGGGGGAGAGATTCAGAGAGTAGAGCGCATTGGGCTTGGTGATCAGGCATGAGGTGGCAACTAAGGGACAGACTGAAGGACCAAAAACCTCAGGTTCCTGTCTTGGGCCCTGAGGTGAGATTACCTGGGACAGGGCTTTTTATTCTTATTCATTTATTTATTTATTTGTGTGTGATACTGGGAATTGAACTCTGAGCTACATCTACAGCCCTTTTTATTTTGGGGATAGGATATTGTTAAAATGTCAAGGCTGACCTCAAAATTGTAATCCTCTTGTCTCAGCCTCCCTGGTAGCTGGAATTACAGGTGTGTGCTACTGTGCCCCACTCGGGCTATTTTTTTTTTAATTTTTAATATTTATTTTTAGTTTCCAGCAGACAAAACATCTTTGTTTGTATGTGGTGCTGAGGATCGAACCCGGGCCGCACACATGCCAGGCGAGCACGCTACTGCTTGATCCACATCCCCAGCCCCCTAGCTGTTTGTTTTTTTTTTTTTTTTTTTTTTAAAGAGAGAGTGAGAGAGGAGAGAGAGTGAGAGAGAGAGAATTTTTTTTTTAATATTTATTTTTTTTAGTTCTCGGCGGACACAACATCTTTGTTGGTATGTGGTGCTGAGGATCGAACCCGGGCCGCACACATGCCAGGCGAGCGCGCTACTGCTTGAGCCACATCCCCAGCCCCCCCTGGCTGTTTTTAAACAGCTTTATTGAGGTATAATTAATTAATTGCAGACCATACAACTCACTTATTTAAAAAATATTTTTTTAGTTGTTGATGGATATAATACCTTTATTTATTTATATGTGGTGCTGAGAATCGAACCCAGTGCCTCACATGTGCAAGGCAAGTGTTCTACCACTGAGCCACAACCCCAGACCCCAGTTCACTCATTTTAACGAACAGTTCATTGAATTTTAATATTTGTTGAACTGTGTATCTGTCACCACAATCCAGTTATTTATTATTATTGGTTTTTGTGGTGCTGGGGATGGAACCTAGGGCCTCATGCAGGCTAGGCAAGCATTCTACCACTTAGCCACATCCCCAGCCCAACTCCATGTTTTCGAATAGTTCCATCACCCCAAAGAGTTCCCCAAAGCTGTTTGTAGTGCACCCTGCTCCCACCCCCAGCCCCAGGGACATCCTGACTTGCTTTTGCCCTCTATAGTTTTACCTTTTCTAGAAATTTCATATGAATGCAATATTTGTCCCCTCCCCTTTCCCCTGCCACCTTTTGTGGCATCAGGGATCTAACTCAGCACCTCACACATCCTAGGCAAGTGATCTACCACTGAGCGACACCCTCAGCCCCGGGATTGTACATGTGGCCGTTGTGGAGCAGCCTTCTTTCCTTAACATGTTGTTGAAATTCATCAGTGTTGTTGTATCAGAAGTTTATTCTTTATCACTGCTGAATGAATTGTCCCTCCATGCAGTGGTCTACGGGTAGACAGTGTTTATCTATTTTTGGATCCATGGACTGTTGTGTTGTTTCCACTTTGAACAATTGTAAATAAAGTTGCTGTGAATGTCTGGGTATGTGTCTTTGTGTGGATGCAACACATTCATCCTCTCAGGTGGATACCTGAGTGAAATGACTAGGTCATATGGTACATGTATGTTTAACTTTTTAAGAAACAGCCAAGATTTTTTTTTTTTTTCCAGAATGGCTGCACCCTTTTGCATCCCTTCCAGCAATGCACCAGAGTTCCAGTTGCTTCTCATTCTCACCAGCATTTGATATGGCCTGTTCTTACTATTAGCCATCCGTTTTTTATCCCCAATCCCAGGGCCTTGTGCATGCTAGGCAAGCACTCTACCAGTGAGCTACATCCCAGCTCTTCTTAAAATTTTATTTTGATAAAGAGTCTCACTAAGTTGCTGAGGCTGGTCTCAAATTTGTGATCCTCCTGCTTCAACTTCCCAAGTATCTGGGATCACAGGCATGCGCCACAGCGCTTAGCTTGAGTTTTTAATCTATTCTGGATACCAGTCCTTCTTTGGATAGATGTTTTGCAAATAATTTTTTCCAAGTCTCTGTCTTTTTGTTTTCTTAAATATATCTTTCATAGAGCAAAAGATTATCATTTTGATGAGATTCCATTTGGCAATATTTTTCTTTTATGAATCATTCTTTTGGTGTTATATTTAAGAAATCTTTGCCTAAATGGAGGCACTTTCTTAAAAGATGTCTCCACCACCCCTGAAATGCCCATCTGTTCCCTTTCCACTATCCTAGTGAAAATCAATTTTTTTCTGGAGCAGATGATAGATATGTCTTATCCCTTGGGTTCTCATGCGGGCAGAGGGGCAAAACCCTAAGGTGGCACACAGATGGCACCCACAGAAGGAGGATCAGGTTTTATTTTTATTTTTATATTTTTCAACTTTGAGACAGGGTCTCGCTAAGTTGCTGGGGTCTTGCTAAATTGCTAAGGCTGGCCTTTAATTTGGGATCCTCCTGTCTTAGCCTCCCAAGTCATTGGAATTACAGGTGTGCACCACCGCAACCGGCAGCAGGGTTGGGTTTTGAGGGAAATTTGTACAAGATCTTCTTCCAAAGATCCAAATGAGATGTTGAGGCCTCTGTAGTATTGAGTTCCTAAATGTATTCCCAAGGGACCAGCCTGACCTGGTACATGATCCCCCTCCTTGCCTCAACCTGCCTAGGCCTCCTTGTCCCCCTTCATCCCTGACACTCCTAAGTTATGGGCCCTCAGACTCCCCTGTCTGATCACCTGAGCCTCAAGTAGCCACAGAGCATTGTTTTCTGGTCACCTTGTGGGGTAAAATTTACATAACCTAAAATGCACCCATTTCAAGTGAACAATTCAGAGGCATCTAGTACATTCAGAATTGTGCAACCTTGACCTCTATCTCGTCCCAAAATGTTCTCATCATTCTAAAATGAAATCCATACCTGTTACCAGCCACTCCCCATCCCCTTCCCTCAGCCCTGCAACCACTAGTTTGCTTTCTGTGTCTGTGAATTCACCTGTTCTGGGTATTCCATATCAGTGGAATCACACAGCATGTGATCTCTTGTCTCTGGCTTCTCAGCGTCATGTTCTTGTCTTAGCAGGTGTTGGTGCTTCATTTTCATGGCTAAGAATATTCCGTGGTGTGGCTGAACCACAGTTGGTTTATCCATTCACCACTTGATGAATGTCTTAACTGGTTTCCTGTTGCCGAAGAATACTTGAATGACAGGCATGGTGGTGCATGCCTGTAATCCCTCCCAGCGACTCAGGAGGCTGAGACAGGAGGACTGAAAGTTTGAGGCCAGCCTCAGCAACTTAGTAAGGACCTAAGCAACTTAGCAGGACTCTGTCTCAAAATAAAAAGTAGGCAGGCCTGGGGATGTAGCTAGTTGTTAAGCACCCCTGGGTTCCATTCCTGCTACCAAAACAAACAATGACTCAGAAGGCAACTTAGTGAGACCCTGTTTCAAAAGGTAAAAAGGGGTCTGGGGCTGTAGCTCAGTGGTACAGCGCTTGCCTTGCAAGTGTGAGGCACTGGGTTTGATCCTCAGCACCACATAAAAAGAAATAAATAAAAATAAAGATATTTTCATCTATAACTAAAAAAAATTTAAAAAAAGT